AATCTATAATAACTCAACAAAATGAACAAATTGCTAAGCTGGAGGTATAATTGGCAGGTATGGCAACTAACATAATAAGTTAATTTTTTACAGAAAATATAGGAAATAAATTTATGGATGAAGTTTTTGACCAATCATCTTCTTTGGTTATACATATTCTAACTTAATTAATTAGATTTTTTTATTATTGTCATTTGATTTTATATGAATACCCTTGAATTTTGTATGTAACAGGTTTTACAGACTAAGATTAGCCAAATTCCATTTACAGAATCTAATATGCATTTTCTTCCTCTATTATATGAAACATCAATTACTAGGTGGATCACTAATAAACATGAAAGTCGAAGATGGAATATTTAATTATCTATTAGTTTTGTGGATTGGGTAGGAAAAGATTGTTAGATTTTGTTCAATAATGGCAATATCAGTTAAAAAATCTTTGCATACATAAGGTTAGCTTATACATTCATTCTTTAAATAATAATATTCATTCATATATATTGTATACCTGTTGTACAAACCTAATCCAGTGTCACAACATTAATAAATATTTAAAATATGTTCCATGGCATAACTAAAACCAAAATATTCAAACTAATACCTTGTGGGATCCTTAAAACATTTTTTTGTGTAATCATTCTTGAGCATTCTGTCATCTATTGAAGAACTTTTTCATTCTGTTAGAACATCAATGAATTGCATGTCTGGTGTGCAAATACTAAAACATTAGTAGCAATTTCATTTTTTCTAATTTTGTACCTAGGTTTGTTAACTAAGTCTATATTCACCCTTATGTATGTTCCATCTAACGCACCCAAACAATTTTGATTAATACATTATATAAATTTGAGATTTATTAATATTTATTCAAGGCAAACAATGATTAATACATTACCTTGAATCATTTTCATCTATTAATCTATTAAATTTTCTGCTATCGATTCTAGTTTTTTAAATAATAGGAAATACAATCTCAAAACAAAATTTCACACAATATGAAATTACCTACTAATTGTCTTTTTAGATCTAGTTACTTAACGTTTCATAAATTTATTTTGTGTATGATGGGCAATGATATGAAAGAAGCTAATAACTATTTTTTTTATTGACATATGTCTGGATGCCTTTAATATTTTTTTTTGTTTGTAGCAATTAACATAATTTTGTAAAAACTTTCCTATCCATTCTATAAATACATTGTATATCACTCTAAAAAACCTTCTTATTTAAGTTTAATGACTTCATACGAAGCCTATCAAGAGTTTCATCAATATGAGAGATTTTTATTTTTTTCTAAGTTTCATAGCCATTAATGTCACAGCAACAATAAGCAACAATTGAAACATACTCTCCATTTGGTTCATTTACAAAATAAGCATTGTTACCAATTGTATCTTTTTTCTTATTGATAAATGAGCCATAATTGTTTACAAAAAAGATTTTTTGTTAATGTGAAAAACTTGTGTCAAAAGTAACCATGTGCATTTGATAAATCAAAATCTAATTCATATCCAACGTAAAACAATAGCAAGAAAACATTTTATTAGATCAAGAAATAACAAGAAAACATTTGTAGACTAAAAAAAAAAACAATAGCAAGAAAATGTATGATAGATCAATAACTTTTCAATCAAAATCTAACTCAAATTTATCAATATAGTAAGAAAACATCTAACGCAAACAAATAGTACAAAACAAATCATACAAAATAAAAAGTAAACTAACCGTATAATGATAAAGATAAGCTAAAATGAACCTTGCACGAAAATGATATTATAAAGCTGAAAGGTGATATTGTGTGAAACAAATAAGATGCAATTTAGGGTTTGACTAGAGCTCTACAATATTGTCTAAAAAAGAAATGTGGTTTATATTGTGTTCAATATTAGTTTATTTTATTATTTTTTATCTATTATCAATGACATTTTCAAACTAGAATCATGATCATTATAAGTCACTACATTTCCAATGATCAATTAATATGTTTATTAATAACTATGTTTCTATAATAAGAAATGTAGTTATTAAAAATTGAAAAAATTTGGATTATCAAATACTACATTTTTGACATATAAAAACATAGTTATTAATATCTTAGATATTCTATTATAAATATTATATCTATTATTATGTTTCCATAATAAAAAATGTCATTGAGATTGAAATTTTTAAAACTTTGTTTTGTTAATTTTTTAGATGATCAATTATGTTATATATATATATATATATATATATAAATGTAGTGCTTATAAAAATAAAAAAATTATTGTTTATTAATAACTATGTTTCCATAACAATAAATGTAGTTATTGAATTACAAAAAATTTCTACTTATCAAATATTACATTTTTTTATATTAAAAACATAATTAAAAGTATCATCAATAATTTATTAAAATATTATATCTATTATTATGTTTCCAAATTAAGAAATTCCATTGATATTAAAAATATCTAATTTATGTTGTTATTACTTTAATTGATCCACTATATTTTATATGTAAAAAATGTAATGCTTCTCAAAATAAAAAAATTCATAATCTTAAATTTGCAATAATCTATTAAGTTTATTCTTTTAAAAATGTTGCCTTTACTCTATATAATTTACTTCATGTCCAATCGTACGATTAGGAATGCTTTTTACTTAATCATGTGGTTATAAATATGGCTTTTTATGTTAAAATGGGCCTCGATTTATTATGTAATTATATAATTTTAAGGATAAAAAATATTTAAAAAATTTATTGTTAAAATAAAAAGAAGGACAAAACTTACTTTTTCAAAAAAATCTTAAGGAGACATAAGTATTTTATTTCAAACTATTTGAATATTGTTGATAATATTAGAATATATTTAGAAATCAGATACCATTAGCTAAATTAACGAATCAAATTATGGAAAGTAAAATTTTAAGGATAATCTAATTTTTTTTAGAACCAAATGCTTCTTTATATTTGACATTTAAATTTTAGCATACATAAAATTCTTTTATTCTCAAATTATGATTTATTTTATATTAAAAGATTAGTTAAATTTCATAATTAGTTGCGATTTTAATTTTGAATCTTGTGTAAATATTTAATCTCTCATCTTATCCGAAAGCCGTCCAATGTCAGAAAACTAGAAATTGGGACAACAACTCAGGAGGATAGATAGTGATGTGAATTATCAATAAAAAAATACTATAATATTAACAACATGAATCATGAGGGCATATATCTATGCATCACTAGTCTTAAAAAAATACCATCAAATTGCATTTGATTAAAAAAATATGTTAAAAATTAAAATTAATGAGATGCTAAAAAAAATAGAATATTAAATTGTAAATTTTATTAAAAACAATTAACACGTAACATCATGTGTACCACGCGTGATATGAAGACTAATAACTTGGAAAGCTTAACATTTTGTCTTTATTTAAAAGGATAAATATATATATATATATAACTTGAATTTAAAATCTAATTTAATTGATTTGTATAATTACTTTTAAAAAATAATATATAATAATTTTAAATTTTAATATTTATAATTTTTTATTGCAAATTACGTATTTTTTATATAAAAATACATATAATGCATATTATATATATATATATATGTACACCAATTAATAAAGCTTTTGTCTTAATTAGTTTATACTTTTTTTTTTACAAAGGAAGTTATAATTTGAAATAGAAGTAGAGGTTACAAATATTAGGATTTTAATCTTAAATTCATGTAAAAATTATAAATTTTAAGATTTTAATTTTAAAATTATTAATATTATTTTTTAAAAAAAATTGCATAAACCAATTAAAATTTCCATCAAATTCCTTAATTTGACTCTTTGTATAAACAGGATGTTTCCAAAATTTGTTTTCCTTAGCCATCAATGTTCAGACTTCACTTTAATCCTAAAGAAATGGGATTTTCATCCCGTTTTCAATTAAAAATCCATATTTAAAATCAGGATCGAAATTTAAAAAAAAAATCATAAAAAATCTTTTGCTGGGGGCAAGAAAAAAATTGAGGTAATATTCTCCAAGTCATGGATTTTCCACTTGGGCCCAAAGGACGAATCTCAGCCCACTTGCTTTCTATCATAAGTCTGACAATGTTCGAATGGTCTATAGTATCTTGGGCCATGTCCCCATTAATTTTTTTTTGGGATCCGGCAACCCAACAGAAAACAATAATTTCCTTTTCATTTTATTCGGAAATTTATCTACAGAAAAAATAATTAAAATTTGAAATTTTGAAAAAAAAAATAGTAAAAAAAAGTGAGATATGTGACCGTATGTTAACTTCATTTGTGAAGTTAAACATTTTACTCTCTCAATGTATCAAAAATAAATTTTTAAAATAATAATTATTCATATATTTTTTAAAAATATTAGGTCAATTTAAAATTATTTAAAAAATAACTTTTTATATTTAAAATTATAAAAATTTCAACTTTAATTTTCGAAATTAAAAATATAACGCTTTATCAAATTGTAAAATTCTTCATTTAAAAAAAATTAAAATTTAATAAAACGCATAATAGTACTTCAACCTGAAAATGAGACAGTATTTTTCGACTAAAAATTTCGTTCCAAACTAAAATATATAGAAAAAATTAAGAACCTAAATACATCATTAAAAAAAATAATATTCCTTCAAAAATAATTTTTTGTAATTATAATTAACTTGTAAACTAATTAAAAAATGTTTAATTAAAATAACAAGATTAATATTTATCGTCTAACAATATTAACAAACTCGTGACAAAATTTAATTGAAATAACAGAATATTAACATTTGTTATCTAGCATTGCTATATAACTAACAACTCATAATTAATCTAACAGTATTCAAATTAGATTTTTATAAAACCATTTAAGTTATATAAGAACTTAAAAATTATTTCAATTAAAATTTTAATTAATTTATAATTATAATTATAAAAAAATAATTTTATTTACATGCAATAAAACAAGTACAATTTTTTTTTTCAAAAGTTTGGGTATTAAAACTAGAAAGAATTAAAGGACCCAGCTTCCTTTCCCACCGAACATCGTTAACAACGAGTCACGCAACAACAAAGCCACTAAAAAACCTTTAAAAAAATCTCAATTCTTCGATTTCTTCGAAGCTCTTACAAATTTCGAATTTACTTCAAAACCCATTTCTCTAATTTGCAGGTTTTCATCAAGAAACTCGCTTTGTCGTTTTTTTTTTTTTTTTAAATTTTGGGATATAATGGAGTCTACCGTGAAAATTTTCTCTTCAATGATATTTCCGATAAATTCAACACAAAAATTTAATAATTTTAACAAAATTTCATATGTGTTTGGATCCAATGTAAGCAGCTCCATCTCTAAAATCTGCGCCGTTTGTTCCAATGGCTCTGTTTCATCCTCTGCTTCTCGTGGGGTTAGTTCCATTTCTTTCCTCTCTTTTTTTTTTTTTTTTATAATTTTACGTAAATTCACATTAAACTGTGATGGGTTCTCTAAATTTTCTTAATTGAAAAATTATAGAATGAAAGGGTTTTTTTTTTTTTTAAATTAATTTCAGTATTTTTTCCGTTAGTTGAATTACAATGAATATTTCATTCAGGAAAAATGCCACTATATGAGAATTTCTTTGCAATTTTTTTTCCTTGTTGGGTTTCTTTTGATTTGACTTAATTCAACTTGTTAAAATGTTTAACTTTAAATTTGTCCATTTTTATGCATTAAGCTTTAAGATGTGTAGTTGTACAATTAAAAAAATTAAGCTTTAAGAAATGTAGTTGGTGTTCTTCGATTCAATCGTCATTGACCCCAAAAAACACTTATTATTCCAAATTTAGTCTAAGTTGCAGCTGGCCAGCGCAAGTTCATCTTTATAAGCAATTGTTTGACTATCTCTGATTCTGAAACACCTTCAAAATAAGTCGGTTATCATTGGTGTGTATAACTAAAATTGTGAATTCTGATGTTACAGGCCGAGCCAAGGGCTGTGGGAGAGGTACACAGGCGAAGAAGCAGTCTGGAATCTCTATTTTGTTATGATAAACCTATCCCAGAGGAACGAATTGAAGAACCAGTTGGGGTATCTTTGGCTGAAAAGGTAGTTGGAGATAATCTCCGATGCACTGATTGTCAGGCCAAAGGTGCCGTCCTTTGTACCACTTGCTCCGGTTCTGGATTATATGTAGACTCAATATTGGAGAGCCAGGGTATCATTGTCAAAGTCCGCTGCCTAGGTAAAATTAATGCTTCTCCAATGACTTTCTGTTTGTAAATGGATTTTTATGCAGTCAATATTCTACATCTGTTATTTTCTTGTTTCACATTGCTATAGAAAGTGACTATTTTCGATCCCGAAAGCCTGATTCTGCATGATAGATGGAGTTCTAAATAGGATTCTTAAATCCAGTCTATTCTATGGAGTATGTTTTGTGAAATGAAACGGAAGTTTCAGAGTGATTAAAGTAGGTTTTTCATTGATGCTTCTAGATTAAATAAAATTCAAAGTCATTTCTGGCCTTAATGCTCCAATAGCTTGATTTTGTGCAATGTAAACATTGTGAAATTTATTCACTGTTTAGTGTTGTCCAATAGCTTAGTGTTATGCATTCTGTGTTTACTTTGCCAAAATGAACACGTCAGACTCATTCACTTTGATTCACATGGATTGACTTGACTATTCTACCTATTAATATCACAAATGCGGTTTTTGTCCTTTATTTTTTTGTCCAATCTCCATAGGCATTCCTAGAATACAAGCTTTGTCAACACCGCTTGTCATTGCTACTGTATTCAACCCCATTGGGGGCCACTTGAGTATTCTTCTAATGCATTCACTGTCATTTTCTTGTATCACATTTTCATATGTAGACTTTTAACTTCATATGTTCCAAGTTATTATTAATATGGTTTTGCCGTTATATTTTATACGTGGCCAGTATGTTGTAATGGTACATTATTTGTTATGGTTCAGGCTGTGGAGGAACTGGCAATATCATGTGCTCTGAATGCGGCGGCCGTGGTCATCTAGGATCCAACTAGCTCTATGGCTGGCCTCTTTACACATTGGAATCCCATTTATTTTAGTAATGTAATTCGTTTACAAAATTCAATGTCCTATTTTGTTAGTTAATGATAACAGAGATTAAATCAATGTATCTGATCATGCAATTTTCTAATGGTGTTTGCAACCATTTTAAAATCCCTTTAGTATGTTGATTGATCCGGAGCTGCATTTGCTTTATGGTGAAATGCATCTCTGTTGATTTGTTTCCATAGTGCTTTTCTTGGTTCATTGATGTAACTCCCTGAAAACATAAACGCCAGAGCATAAATATTGCGTTTAGACAGGGCCACAATGGATTCTTGTATTGCATTGAAAATGATCCGTTGACACAGCAATCTGCATTCTTTTTGTCTATAATGAGATAGTATTCCATTTGAAATGTTATCCATCCTTTTAAAAGGTGCTACAAACTTTAAGCCTGGAAATTACCAAAATGAACTCAACGTTCAATTGACAAATAATTTGTAAATAAATTCAGGTTTTGTTAATTTATTATTTGTTTATCAGCTTAACAAATGATCATGTATAATATTTTATAATTTTATAATTAAACAAATAATAAAACAAAATCCGTTCGTGTTTGATTTGTTTATGTATGAAGTTGTGAACGAGCATTTGTCAAATAATTGGTGAACATATTCGGTTTTTATTTATTTGTTCATTAAAATTAACAAATGATCACAAATAGCATTTCAAGATTTGTTAATTAAACAAATAAATAAATAACACAATAAAATTCATTCATATTTAGTTTGATTACACCCCTAACAAACTTGCAACAGCAATTATGAAACAATATTTCAGGATTTGTTAATTAATTTCATGAATATCAAAATCACAGAATCACAAGTATAACAAAATTCATTAATTTTCTATTGATTTACATCCTGGCAAACTTGCAACAGAAATGTATGGAATTTAGAAAGATGTGGAATTCTTGCAAACAAACAGGCTCGCCAAAATTATAAGATTTTGCTTACGATGATAATTTTCGCATTACGGTTTGCTATAGATTCCCATTGACGGTTAAACTTGATACCTCTGAAGCACTTGAATGCGATCCGGGATTGTTGCACGAAACCGAGGGCTTTGAGGGTTCTCAGCATAAGCAACATAGTAAGCTGAAACACACGCTTGTTGCCAGGCCAATGCTATCCGACACTGCCACACCAAAATGAATGTTTGTGAGTTTCATGTAAAGAAAATGTTTCTCAGGCATGGTTTACTCTCTTACCATGAAATAGCCGATCAAGAAAGCGTAGATGGACACTTCTGTAGCATAGCTCTTATGAATTACCAGCGCCCATGTTCCTCCGATTAGGGTGCATATCGAACCGACTGAAATCCCAGATAGAAAACAGAACACCCCTGTGAGGTCAGAATCAATCAATGAAATCAATCCTGCCCTTTTGAACATTTCCCATGTATGAGCTGATGCCTGCACAAAACCTTTGTTATAAGCCCCTACATGAACAAAACCCCAGCGATTCCCATATGTTATCAGAATTGAAGCCACTCCTGAGTAACAATCAGCACATGAGAACAAGAACTCGTCTGTGTCCCCTGCAATCAAATTGACTGCTCTGGCTGAGCCCCGAATGGTTCCAATAACCGGAACAAGGGCTGATCCTATGCATACGCTTCCTACCAAATGCTTGACTGTGTCTTGCAAAGCAATCTGGGAGTTCATGTCAACTCCAGAAGCAAAATTCATGTATCTAACGCGTGAGATTGTAACATATAGCATGTTCTTGATCACTTGCATACTCCATGCGAAGGTAAGCACGATGAATATGATGAAGAAGATGTCTACGCCGGTTCCGGTCGCGGTTGCTCCTCCAATTCCAATCACCAAGAAAGAGGAGTAGAATACACAGGTTATGATGGATACAGTGACAAATGTAGTGGTTTTATCAGGCGGACAAAATGTGGAATCTCTGAGGACGTCGGCTGCATAAAGAAATTTGGGATTGACCCAACAGGCATAGAGAGACTCGATCACGCCAGAAACTACTGCAATTGTACCTGCCGCTAAACTCAACGGAGAACCAATTAATACATGGAGCACACCAACTGCACATGTTAGCAAGGGACTAACCCAGAAGGCTGCTTTTATGGCTTTTGATGGATTGTGGAAAGAGATCGACTGCCATAGAAAAGAAACAATTCCAGCAGAAGCTGTTGAAACAAGAAGTGGAGGGTACCATTTCTTGGGGTGGAAACGATTGGTATTGCTTGCATAGATGAGGCCACGGATGGTTAAGACGATTACTAAGATGGAGACTATGAACAACTGAATGTAGAAAATGATTTGAAAGAGCTTCCTGAGGAATTGTCCCGCCACAGTTGCTTCTATCTTGATGCTTGGTTCTTGTCTCTGTCAACCAGTTGAAAGAAAGTCGAAACAAAATTGAGCATAAAGAAAAGAAGGAAACAGGAAACAGAAAATTGGCAGGCAGGGCTTCCTTTAGAAGAAAATGGAAGAGGGCCAAAAGACAAGAATTTGATGAAATGAAAACCTTGGGAAGATATTTCATGGAGAGAGCCTGATGGGTAAGAAATAAAATTAAAAAAAAAAAAAGAAGCAAGAAATGGGTTGAAAGAGACCTTGACAATGGCTGTAGAGGGAATAGTTTGTTCTTGAGTCTGCAAATTCGAGTTCTGCATATGAGAGTCCCCGGATCTTTCCATTTTTGACCGCTACTTCAATTGAAAAGAAGTCTTTTGTTGAGTTTTAAATTCTTGGTCTTCCTCTTACTTGGCAGCCACGGTTATGCAAAATCTGGTTAAACTTGAACTCCAATAAATTTATTTATTATTATTATTGTACTCTTCACTTTTGCTAGACGACATGACTTGTTGCAGTCCTAAGCAAATCATCATTCACACATTTTCATAGATTGACCAATAATTGTTGGAATTTTATGTTAAGTGCGCCCATATTTTAACATATAAAGTACACATTTACTATGTAATCCTTCGTTCATCATATATATGTATATATATTTAAAATTATCAAAAATTAAATTTAATTATTAAAATTAAAAGAAAATTCAACACTCTACCAATGATTATTATTATCTTTCATCGTATCAATTTTGTATATGAATGTCTCACATAATAAATCATTATAATGACATAAAGTGTATATACTTTAAATACGCAAAAATATTGTACATAAGCCGATTAAGGATTGTAGTTTTGAAGCTTTTTTATTTTGCTTATGTTGGGATGGTTGATAAGGTGGAAGATTATGACAAGTCCAATGTGTGTACTGTTCCAGTGATGTAGGTGAGTCTTCTTTGATATGTGTTTTGAGTGTTTGAACACTTTAACTTTAACCTCTCCTTTTTTTGAAAGAAACTTTTGAAAGCCTTGTTCGTTACTTAAGAATCTCAAAAACAATTTCCTTTTCAGAGCAAAGATAACTTGTTAATTTGGTTCAAGTAATAACTAATTTCTGTTTGATTGTCGCTTTATTTTTGAGGAGAAGCATATATGATAATTATTTTTCATAAAAGAAGGTCATAATCTCGGGATTACTACAAACTTCTTTTGGTTATAATTAACTTATGCTCTCTAAAAAAAACTAGAAGGCATATAGTATTGTAAATGTAACAAAAGAATTCACATTTGACATTAATTCAAGGGAAAAAAATACCACATAAATCTATACCAATATCCTTTATTCTTTTTTTTTTTTGGTAAAAATTTTTTATAACAAGGATCATTTATTTAGACTCTATTTTAGTTAATACTTTTTTTGTTATTTTTTTTATTAAAAAAATTGTTATCTAATGATATTTGTTGAATGTTATCTCTTAAAAATGATTATACGAAATAATTGATTAAATCTTAAATTTTTTTGCTATTTATTTTTTTGCAAGTAAATGATACGTAGATGTGCAATCTTACGAGATGCAATAGCATATAGTTTATATATATAATTTCATAAATTAAAACAAATATATATAAGGAACCCGAAATTTAATTTAATAAGTTCATACAATCATATATATGAAGTAGCCTCTAATAATTTTAAAGTTCAAAATTTAACACTTACAATCTATTATCTTATCCTCAAGATGCTATTTTTTTATTAAAAAAAAAATTGTACATTAGAAAATGCAACAAGTCAAAAACTACTGAACCCATAAGCAATTAGTAAATTAATGGAGTTGTATCATCTTCTCCATAAGGTTTCAAATTTTATTGGACGTTCACAAAAGAAAAAAGAAAAAGTGGAACTATAAATAAGGAAAAAGGTCAGTCTAAAGCCCCTTATTGATAATTGATGATGACTGGTAGGTTGCCATTCCCTTTACGAAAAATATAAGAGAAATTGGGGGGGGGGGGGGTGGTTTCATGGGATTAGGTGTGAGGGGGGCCAGAGAAAATTGCTTAATATAAAGCATTGCCCCAAACAATTAATTAATTTTAAACGTCATGGAAAGCTTAGTTATTTATATAAATATTTGTCAATTGGCGTGCTTCAAAACTTTGATTTCCACGAATAATAATGATTTGGTGGCAAGAAAATATCTCAGTCGTCTGATCGTATATACCTGGCACTTGCTGGGAAAAAAGGTCTTGAAAGCTGAAATTGATCAAGATATGAAAAATTATCTTATTCTAATGGTTAAATTTACAATATAAGAAAAAAATGGAAGGCACCAACTGTCATGTGATATATTAATAAAAAGTTAGGTTTTTAATTATAATAATCAAAATTTAATTTTTTATCAATTTAAGTAAAGAAAAGCAATTAAACTTCTCAACCTTATCTTAAAGAAGATAACGATCTTAAGTTATATTTGATGTATAAAATGATGGATAGGATACTATAATAATTTTTTTATATTATATTTGGTATGTATTAAAAAAATAGATAGAATTATAAAAAAAATTAATTATCGTCTTGGTATGAGATGATTTGTTCCTTTCAAAATTGAGAGGATTATTTTTAATCCATGATATTAAATTTACATATCTTATTATATCATTAAAAATTACATCAATAACTTAAATAGTATAAATTTTGAAGAACGATAATTTTGACTAAAAAATAAACTATTCTATCATAATATTTGCACACATCAAACATAAGATGAGATGATATTATTTAATTTAATCTTATTTATAATCTTATTTTATCTTATCATATTATAATGTCTCAAACACATTCGAAAATATTATATATGTTTGATACATAAGATTATGATAGGATAAGATAAGATGATATTATAAATATTATTAAATAAAATAATATCATCTTATTATATATTTGATATGTGTAAGGGTTAAGATATGATATTTAATTATTTATTGGTTAAAATTTATATAATTAAATTGCTAATGTAATTTTTAAAAATATAATAGCACAAGTAAGTTTAATATCATAAATTAAAAATAATTATCTTTACTTTTGGAATATGAAATTTTTAAGGGTACAAAAGCACAAGTAGGTTCAATCTCATAAATTAAAAATAATTTTTTTCACTTTGAAGTATTAAATCATTTTATACCAAAAAGATTATTAATCTTTTTTGCAAGTATATCTTTTTTTTTAGATAAAAATCAAATATAATATAAAATAATTATCATCTTATCTTATCCATCATTTTATACTCTAAATATGACCTTAATGTATTAATGAAAATTATGGTCTCCAATTATTTTAAAGTAAACTTGAGTGATGGAACTTGGGTCCTTTACACTTTTTAATTTCTACTAGTAATGATATAACCTATTAAAATAAGTGGAGGTCAAGGTTTTAGTTGGAGATTTCAAGGAGCTTGCATCTTTATCTTTTTTTTTTTTTTAATAAAGGAGGTTGTAATACGGAGGTAGAAAAAGAAATTATAAATATTAAAATTTAAACTTTATATTAATTGGATATCATTTTTTTTAGCTAAAAAAAGATTGTAGTTTGAGAGTATAATCAAGAATAAGTGAAGAGATTGTAAATATTTATATTCGAATTTTAGATTAATTAAATATTATTTTTTATGGATAATTATATAAATAAATTAAATTAAGTTTTAAATTTGATATTAACTTTTAAAAGTGATTACATAAAATAACTCGAATAAATTTTGAGTGCACTTTTCCTTTTTACATAGTCCTATGCTAAATTAAAGCCAACCTACTTTGAGTAAATGATATATGCGATGGTTAGGTTGAGGGTGGCATGAATCATGTGCCCCAACCAAAATAAACGTCATTTAGCAGTTTGGTTAATTAATTTCCTCATCGGTCATGTTTAATTTTTCCACCAAAAAGTTTAGTTACCATCATATGTATGTTAAATGCATGTTTACTCATTTAAAATGATGTTTCACCCCTTTTTCACTCTTCCTTTTTTTTTTTTTTTCCTTAATTTGATATGTCATGTATTTGTAATGTATTCGCTTTTTGTTAAATATGGGTGAAATATATATTTTTTATTTTTGTTAATTTCATATAAATTTTTATTAAAATTTTAAATTATATCACTTTTATATTTTTTTGTATTATTTTTATATTATGTTACTATATTATATTTAAATTTAACAGGTCCAAATTTTGGCCTGGGCCTATCTTAAAATTAATAGGGTTTCTATCATGTTGAACCCCAAGAATCAGCCCAACTTCAACTTTTTCCGGTCATCAGGCTTTATCTTCCTTTTCGCATAATCCAAACCCACAAGAGAATAAAAGTAAAGAAAAATGAAAATGAAAAAAAAAAAATATTGAAGCTTCCAATAGAATACGTTGAGTGCTTTTCACTTTTGTCTTTTTTTCTTTGGCAAGGATGCCGACTGCTTATCATTTCTTTCAGGTTAAGCAGCACCTTCTGATAAAAGGTTGTTTTGACAAAAACAAAATTCAAAACAATTTTGGAAAATTTTACAAATCTTGTAAGTTTAATTCCACAAATACCCTATAAAATCCAATATTTGCCACATAAACCATGGGCAAAAGAGTAATTACATTACCCGGCTGATATTAAGGGTCTTTACCCACCAAACAAATTGATGGTGTGACAGATGGAGGCCTTCACTTCAAAGTAAGGAACCCTCCATAGCCCTCTTATCCACACGCTTCCATTTAACCTTTTCAATTATTAACCACTTAGAACTGCCACTTCCTTCTTTCTCTCTTCCTTGGTATCTCAATTTCTTTTTTTTTTTTTTAATTTTCTTGTAACAAATTTCATTCTCCCAACTAAAATGGGGATCAAAATTTTCATGATCTCCTTCATGTTAACCTCAATTCTGTTCTGTCTTTTATACATCACAACTAAACTAAGCATCCCTATTACAAGGTTCAATCCCATGACAACCTTGAACATTGTACAAAAATCGAACAGGACATATCCAGTTACATTTGCATACTTAATCTCAGCATCGAAAGGAGACACAATCAAGCTAAAACGCGCCATACGCGCCATGTACCATCCTGGAAATCGGTATCTGATTCACCTGGATTACGATGCGCCCGCCTGGGAGCACCGGGAGATTGCAGAGTTTGTAACCAGTGACCCAGTTTTTAGCCTGGTTGGTAATGTTTATATTGTTGGGAAACCAAACTTGGTTACTTATAGAGGTCCAACCATGCTTGCTACAACTCTTCATGCAATGTCAATGCTTTTGAGATGCTGCAAATGGGATTGGTTTATTAATCTTAGTGCTTCTGATTATCCTTTAGTAACTCAAGATGGTAAGGTGAGTGGCCTTGTTTTCATGGTTTTAGTCAGTTAGTTCTCTATCTATTTGTATATATTCATAGAGTTTTGTTTTACAGTTTTTGCACTTG